ACGCGCCGCGGGGAGAGCGGGGGCGGGGCAGCTGCTCTCAAAATCCGCTCCGGGTAGCAGTTACTGACATTCTAGTGCGTCGGGTTTGCCTCGTGTCCGTTTCTGCTACCCGCGCGCGTCTCGCTGGTCCAGGAGGAGCTAAACCTGGCAGGTGGGGTTCACTTTGTCAGACTCTGCTGCCAGTGCTCCTGGTGTCTGTATTGTTCATGAACATTTCATTGCAAAAGTCCAGTGGTGCTCGTTACTTTTCTGTGATCACAGAGATATAAAATGTGACCTATGACCTGACTGAATTATCATAACTCTTCGAATGAGGCTGCTAAAGTGTATTCTCCCATTAACACTCCCTGTTTTCTTTCCTAGAATACTCAAACCCACACGCCTAAAATTTGTTGCGAATTAGGAATATTTGTGAGATAAGAGCTTGCACAGAAATTGAACAAGCTTGAAGTAAATCGATTTAAAAGTTTGAATGGATATTCACAGACAAAAGTGCACTTTTGAAAAATGTGACTATACAGACATTTACAATATGGGTTAACATTCCTCTTTTATGGTGAACATACAGATGTTAACCTTTAACATTCCTCTTTTATGGTGAACATACCGATGTTAACCTTCTATGGCGAAAAAGGAATTAGCTCAAATGTCTCTAAAATGTGAACAATTATTGGGAGAACTGATGATCTCTCCTGGAAGATTAGAAAAAGGAAATGTGATACCAACACTGACAAAAAGAAAAGAATGGTCCTGAAAACTGTTGTCCATAAGGTATTTGTTAGAAACAATCAGATAATGGGACAAATATTGACAGAAAAAAACCTCAAGGGGCTTGAAGAAATTGACCAGAACAGGTATTGTGGAGTAAATTATTCTTCCGCAGCTATTTCAGAATAGTCCCACTTGTAGAGCCGGGTAGAGTGAGGGCAGCAGCAACAGCAGCTCTTACTGAGCATGCTTGATTCCAGTGCACAGGATCAGTACACCGGAACAATGGAATTCTGAGGGCAGCTGCTGTGTGATGCTACACTGGCTGCATGTTTATGTGGTGGCACCTAAGCCACTGCCTGGCCCCACAGTGCACGGGCCTCGATGGGAAGCGGGCTCCCACAATAGCCCTTTGGGCTTGAAGGGGCGCCCTGGGGGCTTTGCAGCCTGTGGGCTTTCTTGGGATTGGTTAAGGGGTGCAAGCAGCTGTCAGGGACAATGTAAAATGTAAGGTGGCAGCTGTTATGGACGCTTAAGGTAGGAGAAATTGACCCAGGAGCATAAAAAATCCCATGAAAATCGGGTATTTAAACAGCTAAATTCTTGGCAACCCAGCGCCTCCACCCCCTCAACAGTGCCCAAACTAAAGGGAAATTGACAATAGGGGTTTTCATTGGCCAGTCTGAAGCAAATTAAAACAGAAAACAAAGAGACTACATCGGCCCCTACATTTGGAAAGGCAATTCATTTTTTTAAAATTCTTTACACTGGTATAATCTAAAGACTTGTTTAGATTAGGATTTTAAAGTATATTAAAAGAACATATTAACCAACATCCTCTAATTAAACATACTTGAAAAGGTTAGACTCACCCCTGGACTTCAATTCTGACAGCTGCATGTTTGGTACACGCTGTCTTATCTATGGTAGACTATTCAAATGTGTTAGTTAACTAAAACATTTTAAACACATCTTTCCTGAGGTACCTTAAAGACTAACTGAATGATCTGTGTTTTATTTAGTCTTTAAAGTGTGATAGTAGTCCTTGTTTTTACAGATACAGACTAGAGATGTTAAATTTTGATTAATCAGCTAATAGAGTAGTCGACGGAAATTCCATCGACTACTCAATTAGTCGATAAGGGGGAGATGGGGCGCTCATTATCCCAGCTGTGTCTCTGCCTTTGAAATGTACCAAGAGCCCCATGGGGCTCTTGCTACATTTCACAGGCAAAGGCGAAGCAATTAGGACCCGGCGCAAGCAAGAACTGCTTCAGTCTCCACTCACGCCGTTTACCTGCTGTGCCTCTGCCCCCGTGAAGACGGTGCCAGGGGGAACCGACTTTTAAGCTGGTTAGCCCTAGCACCGTCTCCTGACCCCCCCGCCCCGCCACCTTGCTGCCTCTCTCTGATAGAGGCAGTGGTGGGGAGGGAAAAGCAACTAGTTGAGTCACTACTTGACTACCCAATAAGCATATGCTTATTGGATAGTGAACAAGTTGCTTACATCCCTAATACAAACTAATATGGCTACCCCTCTGAGTCTAGGTACAACCAAATTTGGTGCCCCAGTGTAAGTGTGAGAAAGCATCTGAGGCCAGATCTACATTGGTGAGAAAATTGATGCAAGATACACAAGTCCAGATAAAAGAATAGCATAGCTGGCGCCAACATACCTTGCATCGATTTTTTTGGGGTGGCCCCACAGCAGAAGGTCAAAGGGAGAAACTCTCCCATCTACTTTCCTACTCCTCATGACTGCAAGGTATGCTAGTGTTGAAGGGGGGCACCCTCATTGTTCAATTTAGTGGGTCCTTACTAGACCTGTTAAAACGAATGCCAGAAGAATGATTTCCGGAGTGCCAATCTTCCTGGAATTGAAGATAAGCCCTGAGTCATCATACTTGAAATCCTGCTGAGGTGGTTTAGACATGCGTTGCCAATGTCAAGAAACTGTACTTACTACTAGATAAGCCACATGGACATTCCTTGGCAACAATAAAAAGAACAGCACAATACATTGACAAAAATGCTGCTGTCATAGAAACAAGGTATACCAGTAAGGGACATAATAGTAGACAAATGGAGGTGAAAAGACTGTTACCTTGTGTCAGAAGACACAAGAACATCTAATAAATAATAAATAGTAAAGAATTATGGAACTGGGGTTATTGCAAGAAACAATGGTAGGTCCTGGAATCAGATGGAGAGAAGTTGAGAACCCTTGATTAAAGGTAATAATAATTCATGTATATAAGTGTGTCGATCATACAGAAAGAAATCCTAGCCTGGTTGAAGTCAATGGAGATTTTGCCATTGACTTGAGGGGGCTAGATTTCATCCAGTATTTTTAAAATGATAGTGTCTATTTAAATTATTTGTTCAGAATAAAATGTATTATATACTTCACCTCTGAAAAAAGTCTGAGTAGCACCACTGACCTTACCCCAACAGAGGAACTGAATTCTAACGTGGAGGACTTCAGGATGAAGGAATAACGAGTTCCATCAAATATATTAGCATGATCTGCATTCACAATCTCTTTTATAAGAGTTAACTATAACTTTGTTGCTCTACACATGCTCCTGTAATCCTTAAAGTGAATGGGGCTGTGGTGAGGCTTTTTAATCCATCTACATAAATCTTTTGCAGGTTCAGGGTCATAGGCACTATGGCTGAGATTTTAGGGAATTTAGCTGAATTTAGCTAATGGACAGTGGGCTTCTAGATCCCTTGGGCAGCTTTTTATATCTCAGTCTCCATGACTGCCTTCACTTTACTGTTCTCATATATTCTGCTCTATTGTAGTCTGTGATGCACAAGTACCAATAGAGTCTTAAATACTGTTTTTATGCCATTTGATCATAAATGTTTTACAGTTTGTTCTCATAGATCAACTTTTCATTTAGAATTCATGTAGGGATTTCCTTTGTAGTTTTTAATTTTGAAAATCTCCTACAGAAGCTAGTAGAAATGATGCATAATTAAAGAATTCTTTGAAAATGTCTATATTCAGCTCCTAAGTATCTTTTGGATTTGCCCTCCCATAATATTTTCTACTCATTGTCATTCTGTATTCCCTCACCTCCTTCTCTTTTCCTACTCTTATTTGTCTTTCATCACTTGCCCTCATCTATCATTTTTCCTTATTTCTAAATCACAGTCTTGTATCCCTTATCTTGAACACAGTGGATATGTCTAGACTGCATCCCTCTGTTGGCAGAAGGATGCAGCTTAGGAAGGTCGACACTGCAAATGATTTAAATATCCCGTGCTTAATTTTCATAAAAATGAGACTCATGTATGCCTCCTGCAAGGAGGTTTACAGGATCTGTCGAAAAAGGCTTTCTTTCTTGACAGATCCCCCTCTAGCCTGCCACTTTCTGCTGAAAAAGTGCTGAGTTGGCAAAAATGGTGGCCATTTTTATGCAAATTAAGCATGGGA